CGGCGCCCGGAAGCCGCGCCTCCTCCGGGAGGGCGCCCTCGCCAGCCTCAGGCATGGCCCAGGACGTGGACGACTACGACCCGGTGGGGTCCATCTTGTTGCAGGTGCGACACGGACCTCCCCTCCGAGGCCCGGGCGCCGCTCCCTGGCCGCCTTCGACACGCGAGGGGCTCCCCGACGCCCCCCAGCCCTACCGCGCGGCCTCACGCACCCGCACGCCGCGCCCTGGGGGTTGCGCCCCAAAAGCACGACTTTGGGAAAATTCCGAAGCCGTGCACCCCGGAACTTTTGCTTCAGAAAAATCTGCCTTATCCAGAGGCACCGCTGTAACGTGTTGTGTTCTGAAAACTGAACCCGTAACGTCAGGGAGCGGAGGACTGAACCCCGCACGGGCAGGGCGATCAGGAATCGGAGAAACTGCGGTCGGGAGCTTTTTCTTTGGCTTCTCCCTGGGGGATCTCGGTGTCCCCTGTTCGGGAACACACACCCAGCACCGCTGAGGAGAGCTCGGACTGCAAGTCAGTTTAACGTGTTGAGTGTAAAAACACGGCAAAATAGAAAACTCAGGATAATATTTCTAATCCGAGGGGGACAAGGTCAGGAAAGTCTTCTCTTCCCCAGCGTAACTTCGTTTGTCAGCAGTTACAGTCAGGTTTTTCTGACGTGGTTAAGGTTCAGACTTTTTCACTTTTACATATGGTAGCTTTAAGATGTTTCCTAATATATCATCCCTTTTAAAAAATGTTATTATTTTAACTTGCTATTGGGCAACAGAAACAGAGAAAGTGAGAGAGCAAACCACCAGGTCGGGGACTTGAACCGCTGTCGGCCGTGTGGGAGTCCAGTGCTTTAACCACGTCACCCATAGACCCCAATATCACTCCTTTTAACTCTTCTGTTTAGCTCCATTTGACTAAGGCTTGCAGGGATTTGCCTAAAGTCGCTGTGTGAGGACTCCCTCTGGGGTCTGAAGTAGGACTCTGCTCTTCAACTGCATCTAATGTTTCTATCAGAATTTTAAAAAATATATTTTTTTTCACATTTTATTTTTCTATTCTATATTGGTAAATTATACTTGTATAAATTTATGGGATTCTGTCGAAATATATCTCCCATCTAGGAGAGAATATCCTAAATTCACCTTTTCTAAAATATCCATTCAAGCCCCTCAACACACCAATTTCAGATCCTTCCCCACGATGAGTCCTAGCTAAAGCTGACCTCACCTTGTGTTACCCTCTCTGTGCCATCTGTTAGCCAGTCTGCAAAGTCTGAGGGACATCCCCACAAGGCCACCCCTCGCTTCTAAACCTCAGCTGCAAGGTCAGAGGTCTCCAGAAGCAGCCTCACTTCAGACCAGCTGGCTACACATTTAGGGAGTCCACGGTCACCCTGACACTTGATCATTTGCTAGGACAAGCCACAGGATGAAGGAAAAGTTTACTGTTAAAATGTCACTATAGCCAAAGGATATAAATTAAAATCAGTCAAGAGAAAAGACGCACAAGGCAGAGTGCAGGAGGGGACAGAAAAACGTAGCTTCTGACCACCTCACTTCTGTGCAGTCACGGATTTCATGACCTCCTCCCAGCCTCAGTGTGGGGCGAAATGCAGACGATTGCCAACTGGAGAGTCTTTGATGTCTAGAGCTTTCGGGGGGCCCAGCCTCACACTGCCCTCATGACTCCTCTAATTCCGGACTCTCCTACAGGTCAAAATAAAGCCTTTAGCCTGCCATTCCTCCTGTGGTCAAAAATGATAAAATATGGCTCAAGACCCCCAACACGAATCTCGTCATTAGACTCTCTGGTGCCAAAGTCCCCCACGGCAAGACATTTCAGGGACCTAGAGATTACCTCGCACTAGCCCAGAGCAAGGGTCAGACTTTTCTTCGAGTAGTTCATTCTTCCGTGTGCGTACCTCCTCTTTACAGACCCCAGACAACTGGAACACTCAATGGAGTCTTATCTGGAAACCGCCAGTTCTTCCCCCACGGTATACCTCATGTTGACGACAGGCAATGAAGTTTCCCTTCCCTTTCCTCTGTTTCCCTAGACCTGGAACTCTTTAAGAAGAGACCAGGATCTGGGGAGCATTGTCACGCTCAATTTCACACTTTCTCTTGAGATAATTCTATTTCCAAGGGCTGCTCCCCTTGTGGTTTGAAATAGCACAGAAGAGTGTATTGAAAGCCAGAAGCCTTTTCACTTTGGAGTGAGATCCAGAGGGAGATGTTTGATTAACCTAGGATACAAAATTACAGTAATAGCTATCTATTGACAACACATTGTAAAATGGGACAGAAGAACTAGGAATAGTTGTCATAGGTCCACATTGATCTGTCCCACCTGCACCCAAAGGGTTATTCCAGATGCGCTGAGTGCAGGGCTGGGTAGAGGGATCTGCATGTTAACCTGATTATTGAGACTGACCTCGATGGTGTAAAATTCTTTTCTCTACATGTAGAATATGTATAGTGAGGAAATTAGGGAGACCTTTCCTATCCTCCCAAAGGATCCTGAGTATTTGTGAGCATAGAGCACCACTCTGAGGCATGCCAATATGAGTGCCACTTCTGTCTACTTGGGGCTGTGATTATTTTCTTCAAATAGGCTACTGACAATCAGTACTTCTTTTTTTTAAGAGGTTTTTTGCTATAGGGCGCGTGCGCTCGCCAGACAGACAGAGACAGAAAGCAAGAAATCACCCCCCAGCGGGGATGGCCAAGCTGCAATCCCTTCTCCATTCTCCTCTCGGGATCTTGGGCACACACACACATGTGCCCGGCGTGAGTTTTAAGCCACCGGGTCTTACATATGGTAGCTTTAAGATGTTTCCTAATATATCATCCCTTTTAAAAAATGTTATTATTTTAACTTGCTATTGGGCAACAGAAACAGAGAAAGTGAGAGAGCAAACCACCAGGTCGGGGACTTGAACCGCTGTCGGCCGTGTGGGAGTCCAGTGCTTTAACCACGTCACCCATAGACCCCAATATCACTCCTTTTAACTCTTCTGTTTAGCTCCATTTGACTAAGGCTTGCAGGGATTTGCCTAAAGTCGCTGTGTGAGGACTCCCTCTGGGGTCTGAAGTAGGACTCTGCTCTTCAACTGCATCTAATGTTTCTATCAGAATTTTAAAAAATATATTTTTTTTCACATTTTATTTTTCTATTCTATATTGGTAAATTATACTTGTATAAATTTATGGGATTCTGTCGAAATATATCTCCCATCTAGGAGAGAATATCCTAAATTCACCTTTTCTAAAATATCCATTCAAGCCCCTCAACACACCAATTTCAGATCCTTCCCCACGATGAGTCCTAGCTAAAGCTGACCTCACCTTGTGTTACCCTCTCTGTGCCATCTGTTAGCCAGTCTGCAAAGTCTGAGGGACATCCCCACAAGGCCACCCCTCGCTTCTAAACCTCAGCTGCAAGGTCAGAGGTCTCCAGAAGCAGCCTCACTTCAGACCAGCTGGCTACACATTTAGGGAGTCCACGGTCACCCTGACACTTGATCATTTGCTAGGACAAGCCACAGGATGAAGGAAAAGTTTACTGTTAAAATGTCACTATAGCCAAAGGATATAAATTAAAATCAGTCAAGAGAAAAGACGCACAAGGCAGAGTGCAGGAGGGGACAGAAAAACGTAGCTTCTGACCACCTCACTTCTGTGCAGTCACGGATTTCATGACCTCCTCCCAGCCTCAGTGTGGGGCGAAATGCAGACGATTGCCAACTGGAGAGTCTTTGATGTCTAGAGCTTTCGGGGGGCCCAGCCTCACACTGCCCTCATGACTCCTCTAATTCCGGACTCTCCTACAGGTCAAAATAAAGCCTTTAGCCTGCCATTCCTCCTGTGGTCAAAAATGATAAAATATGGCTCAAGACCCCCAACACGAATCTCGTCATTAGACTCTCTGGTGCCAAAGTCCCCCACGGCAAGACATTTCAGGGACCTAGAGATTACCTCGCACTAGCCCAGAGCAAGGGTCAGACTTTTCTTCGAGTAGTTCATTCTTCCGTGTGCGTACCTCCTCTTTACAGACCCCAGACAACTGGAACACTCAATGGAGTCTTATCTGGAAACCGCCAGTTCTTCCCCCACGGTATACCTCATGTTGACGACAGGCAATGAAGTTTCCCTTCCCTTTCCTCTGTTTCCCTAGACCTGGAACTCTTTAAGAAGAGACCAGGATCTGGGGAGCATTGTCACGCTCAATTTCACACTTTCTCTTGAGATAATTCTGTTTCCAAGGGCTGCTCCCCTTGTGGTTTGAAATAGCACAGAAGAATGTATTGAAAGCCAGAAGCCTTTTCACTTTGGAGTGAGATCCAGAGGGAGATGTTTGATTAACCTAGGATACAAAATTACAGTAATAGCTATCTATTGACAACACGTTGTAAAATGGGACAGAAGAGCTAGGAATAGTTGTCATAGGTCCACGTTGATCTGTCCCACCTGCACCCAACGGGTTATTCCAGATGCGCTGAGTGCAGGGCTGGGTAGAGGGATCTGCATGTTAACCTGATTATTGAGACTGACCTCGATGGTGTAAAATTCTTTTCTCTACATGTAGAATATGTATAGTGAGGAAATTAGGGAGACCTTTCCTATCCTCCCAAAGGATCCTGAGTATTTGTGAGCATAGAGCACCACTCTGAGGCATGCCAATATGAGTGCCACTTCTGTCTACTTGGGGCTGTGATTATTTTCTTCAAATAGGCTACTGACAATCAGTACTTCTTTTTTTTAAGAGGTTTTTTGCTATAGGGCGCGTGCGCTCGCCAGACAGACAGAGACAGAAAGCAAGAAATCACCCCGAGGTGGCCATGCCTCAATCCCTTCTCCTCCATTCTCCGCTTGGGATCTTGGGCACACACACACATGTGCCCGGCGTGAGTTTTAAGCCACCGGGTCCAGGACGTGAACCACAATCAACTACGTGGGAGTCCAGCAACATAGCCATTACACTAACTGCTGGTCCCAATCAGTACTTCTAATGCAAAGAGCACTTGATTGGGAGTCGGAATGCTGAGATCTGGCCATGGCTCTGACATTCTCCCTGGTGTGTACCTTTGGGCTAGTCACATCAGC